TTTCTTTAGGTAAAAGAAATAGATATATGGTCTTTTCTTTAATTTTCGAAAGTATGAAAGTAAAAAAGTTCAATGAGTTCTGCCTCACTTTTGAGCTGTCAGAATGATAACATTGTGGCTTTTAAGGCTGAAACTTTGCTAGTTTAATTGAAGTTTTTAAGAATTTAACTGTTATATGTGTGTTTAATGAGTTTGGTACCAATTCGGACACATGAGATAAAGATTAGATTTACAAATTGCTGCAAGAACTTTGTTGTAAAGTTTTATAATTTATTCATTTGTATTTCTTTCACTAATGACTACCTAAACACTAGCTTAACTTTAATGTGTATACTTATATGTTTATGAAAGTGTTCAGCTCTACAGATGAGGACAAGAAACAATCTTAAAAGTTAAGATCTGTTTCATATTGGTTATTTAAAACAATCTTAACTACTGGACAGACTTCTCATTTCAATTTTAATAATGAGGAAAAACAAATACAAGTTGACTAAGTTTATTGAAATATGTAGCTTCTTCATGAATCCACAGCTAAAGTACACACATACAATTGTGCAGTTATTAAACTTTAACTCACTGTTATATATTTCACAGAAAATTTAGAAAAAAAACGTGATTAGTAATAATAATTTTTCTATTTGTCATAAAACTTTAGTTTTCAGCAAAAGTTTGTAGCTAATTTTTTAGATTATTCCATGTTATAGGTAATTCTTCATAAGAAATTCGTGTTTTGATTTATATATTTACAGTAAAAACACTTTCATAGTTGTGCACTAAAGACTCTAATTTTAACTTCTAATGAGATATAAACAATGGAATTTGGTGCTTTTAAAAATTATATATTAAAATGAGTAGGTGCTAAGTTTATTAGAAAACTTTAATTTATATAAGGTAGATAACTGAAAAAATCTCAATAGAAAGTAGATTAACCAGTAACAATTAACAAATTGCAACATATTTGTTTTTTTATAGAAGAAGGATGCAAGGAGATGTACTTTGTAAACATAGGATTTTAATAAGATTTCACATATTGATTACATAAACTATAGATATCAAGCTTCTTCATTCAGTCTCGAGAAAGTTCTTGTGCTACTAAGAAATAATTTTTCAAAAATATTAACTTTATAGAAAAGTGTGAGGAGTAGTCTTTAATATAAGATAGTAAGATAACTGCAATTATTAACAACCTGGTAAAGCAGGTTTATTACTCACTCAGAACTAGTTAAATTTTCAGGGTTTGAATGTCTATTATTAAAAAGAATGTTTATTGTAAAGCACAAAGATGCACAATCAGTTTGCTATCTGTGCTTTGCCCAACATGGGTCTCAAAATTTGTAATGTTATAAGACCTCAGACTTCATGGTGAACTACTGAGGGGGCATATAAAAAATATGCAACTTAACTGTTTTAGCAGTTTTAGGTAAACAGTGGTGTAAGAAGTGGGAATGGGGGAGTAAATTTATCAATCTGTCCCAGTAAAAATGCATTAAAATTAGAAAAATACTCTCAGGAAAAGCATAAAAATGTATAAAATTTAATCCAGAACTCAAAAACTTCCAAGGCCCTAAAGCAAGCCTGAACCCCAGCTGTAATTGATGCACCTGTAGTGCACATTAACACTTTGCTCGGTCAAAAAAATCTTGGGTCCCTCACTCTCTGGTAAAGCTACTAGTATAAGTAAAAACGATTTTGTAAATTAGTTATTCTGCTGTAATCTAATTTTGCTTCAATTGTATGAAAGTTTTATAGTTTACAGTATTTTATTAGAATTTTTAAATAGTAAGATATGATGTAGAAATTGTCTTGTTTAATAAAAAAACATCCAGTTTTGTATCAGTATTGCAAGGCCCGGCATGGGCAGGTGGTTACGGTGCTCGACTCACACTCTGAGGGTCGCGGGTTCGAATCCCTGTCACACCAAACATGCCCACCCTTTCAGCCATGGGGGTATTATAATGTGAAGGTCAATCCCACTATTTGTTGGTAAAAAAGTACCCCAAGAGTTGGCAGTGGGTGGTGATGACTAGCTTCCTTCCCTCTAGTCTTTCACTACTGAATTAGGAGTGGCTAGTGCAGATAGCCCTCATGTAGCTTTGCACAAAGTTCAAGAAACAAATAAACAGTATTGCAAATATAAAATTTTTATAAATTAATGTTCTGAGACTAAAACTTTGATATATCTTGATATTGTTCAGGCCATCATTTATAGCCTAAGTACTACTCGACCACATCAGAACTAGAACTTCAGTGTTTTTAACTTCACAGGTTAGACATTTTCTGAATAAAAGTTTTTGTGGGAGCTCTATTCCCTGGCTCACAAATATCCCTGTGGTTAACTCTTACAGAGTTTTCTTTTGTGTCTTGGTAAATCTTATAGCTATTCAAGTAGACCAGAGTAAATTGACAATCTTAAGCAAGATATTAAAAGAAGATTCACAATCACAACAATATGAGGCATATTACTATAAAAGTGTCAGATGATATGTTGTCATGAGTTGTATCGGGTAACATGTGGAGAATATAAAGAAACATAACAACATAAAGTTAAATTAGGGATATGAGTCTATTGTTCTTTGTCATACATACATTGTAACATAGTTCCTCAACATCCTGTTTATAGAGAATAATAAAACATTATGAGGCTTTTAACATAAGCTAAATAAAGATAGGACTTTTGAAGACTATATGCTACTTTAAGTGAAATAAAATATTGTAATCTAGTAAATATGACAGAAGGCATTGAAGACATTATTGAAAAACTCATCATCCATGTACAAAACAATATTTGAATTTTCACACAACTAGTTTGAGACAGGTTAAAGTACTGATTAAACCATGTGATATTAATATAGATTGGTAAAATTTAACTGACTTGTGATATCGCCTACACTCACAACAAAATGAAAAAGTAAGTAATTTTTTTGTGTTAATACAGCAAGAGGATTATTGTGTACATTGTATATTATGTTAAGCAGATTACTACACTCTATATACATATACTTGTAACTTAAAGCAGGTCTGCACACTGCATTTGCACGGAGTGGTCTTTGAAATATCTTCTTTATTTCCAACAGATGGCACCACAGATAAGAATTGCCTGCATTGTTTCTATAAGTAGACTTGTTATAAAACTAGGTACAAAAGATGTCATGAAGAACTATTATCTCTATGCATCAATCATTAGATATTCTTGAAAGTCTTGTTGGTATGCACTGATATTAATTAATTAGACTTAATTAGAAATAAGATCATGTATATGTTTAAAAAACAAGATAGACTACTGTGAAAGAAAATGTAAGAAAAACTAAAAACATTTAAACATTTATTTGTGAATTTTATTTACTAACAAAACATGATCTTTCATTCACTACTTCCTCAGCAACAGACTAGTTTTGCTGATGTCACAGCTCATAAATGCTGCTCAGAAGAGAGAAGCAAATAAATAAAGTAGGCCTCATTAAGTAGTGGAATGCAAGCAATATATTTGGTTTTCATGTATAGTCCTTTACTCACCACAAATAAACTAAAATACTTTGGAGGTTTGGATAACATACCATCACAATTAGTAATTTATCATTATTCAGCAGACTGACTAGTTATTTATTTGTAAAAATGGTTGAAGTTCTAGGTTCTGGTGAATTCTATAAAAGACAAAACTTTTTTTTTTTTATTATGCATATGGAACTTGTTCTTAATAATTAACTCCTGTAAGAAAACAATAAAAAATGCAATACAGTGTACTATTTACTACTACTAAAGAAGATTGATGTTAATATAGAGTTAACTGCATATTTCCCAAGCAGGGAATACTTTTTGCTTAATGGGTTTCTAGTGTTAAATTACTGTTGTAGTAGAGCAAAGGATATCAAGTAAATTTAGTGCTGGTATTTATGTTAGAATATTAGTATGGCTAGGGCATTAGGCTGTTTAGTTTTGGTTAAATACTAACAGTAGATACTATAATGAAAGGTGGAAGGAGATGAATTCCTCACTTGCATCCCGAGATCAATCCAAGTCCTATCTGGCTGGACATATCCACCAGAAACTGCTTGGTAGATATTGGAATAGGTGAACTGTACTATATTCCCAGTAAACACACCAGGCCTATGTTTCAAACTAGTCTCTTACTGGGAAGTAAGGGTTCTACTGTGCTCCACTAGAAGAATAGGGGAAGGAATTTGCATTGGGGAGAAAATTAGAGTGTGTACATGGACTACTAGCATCAGACACAATCATCTGGAACTGGGTCCCCACTGAGAGATAATACAATATGTTACAGCAACTAAAGACA